CCATATCCTTTTTCCCTGGTGCTCTCCATGCCCCCCTCAGGCTTCCAAGCAGAGCTGAGCAGCACTAGTTTCAGTTTCTCTAGGGGTTAGCCAAATAACAGCAGCAGCGGGCAGAAGGTTGTTCCTGCATTTTGAACAACTTCTTAAAGAAATACATCTGCCTTTGTCATTGTCTCTTACCCAGGAAAGAGCTCTTGGTTTCAGACCAAAATTACAGCTCCATATCCAGCATAGCACTTGAGATTTACATTTGAGTAAACATGTATAAGCTTGACTCCAGATACTGGTCTGCTTGAGTTCATCCATTTCAATTTCCTGCCTATTTTTCAAAAATAGTGACTCATTCCTCTTGCCTTGAATTTTACATTTGGAATACTGTCTTAACTTTCTACAGTGATTGCAAAAAAGCTTATTTCTGGATTGAGCTGATGCTTTTTGATTAGAAGTCAATGAACTTGCACAGACTAATATAGAATTCATTTTAAGAATTCATTAAATCTGGGAGCACAGATAAGTATATTCTATCTTTGAAAAGAAAAAACCCCCAGTAATCCCCAAATCCAAGGCTGCAAAGTAGTATGATCAATTGGAGCAAGTGACAGCCTATCAAGGTTGCAGCTTGTTTCCTCTAACTTTTCTCACAGGACTCTATCAAATGCTGTCTTCAAGTCATTATTAGGTGCAGGTATTGAACTGAGTCCATAATTGTGCTGTTCTTACTAGCAGATATTTCCATATAAAATTTTTAAGAAAGTTGCTAGGTTCTGTTTCATTGCAATTGCCATCAAAAGTCAAAGGCCTTAAATTCACCTAAACCTAGATCAACTGGCTGTCATTTTGTAGACAAAAATTGTAGTTTTCCAATCTCAGTTACTGCCTTATTGGGTATCATTATTTAATAATTTGGATTTATGCATTTACGTACCTTATTTGATTCCATGTGTTTTTAATTTACTTATTTTATAAGCATTTTTAAAATTTGGTCTTTGACCATAAACAAACTTGTAAAAAATAAGGCTGCAAAAGTGTAATGGAAAAATCAAGACAATTGTTTTCCAATACAAAAACAAAAGCCATTTTTGACAGGTCAATGCAGTTTTCTTTCTGTTTTGGTCTTCTTCTATAGACTAGGATGGACAAGAACACCCCTAATCCTCCAGGGTTTTAAGCTTCCTTCTACAGTGTTCAAAATCTGTGCTGCTATATACTTCAAAGTCAAATTGATGCTATATTGAGCTGTACTAACAAGCATTTAAAGGATACAACCCAAAAGAGTCTTCCTGGAAGCCATAGATGACATTCTAGAATGGAGTAAAGGTGCGGCTTTTCCAACAAATTCTTGGAACAGGACACTGTCCCAGTATATGCAGAGTTGATGCTTTACAGTTCTATTTTGAATATTGTGTTTGATTTGTTATTTTAATGTGGGTTTATATGATTAAATATAGTGTTACTGTGAATCACCCAGAGTTTAATAAGCAAGAGACATACAGTATTGTGCAAAGGTTTTAGGCAGGTCTGAAAAAATGCTGTAAAGTAAGAATGCTTTCAAAA